AGGCCAACACTTGGCACAAAGTCACGGCTGCCGGTGCCCCAACTGCGCGGGACGGCCACACGGCAGTCCTGGATTCGCAGCAGCGGATGTGGATCTTCGGTGGCTGGAGCCGTTGCAGCCCCAGAAGTCCAAGCGATGCTCACTGAGTGACACTTTTTTGCTGTCCCCTGTGGGTGCCGTGTGGGGGGGGTCGCTGCTGCCATGTGGCCCCAAGGTGGTTATCTGAATGACCTGCACTACTTCAGCATTGAGGCAATGTTTGCTGGGAGAGTTTGCGCATTGAGTTGTTTTTGCAAGTTTTTGCTTTGGATTTCCTGTGTTCATGTGCCAGTTTACTGGGTAGAGCTCGGTTTGTGACTTGACTACGCCATAGGTAGCGCTCTTTGTTGTTGCAAATCTGGCATTTAGATTGTTTATAGAAGCTTCTGTGCAGGGTGCAGTCTTGGGAATGTCGTCACATAGCATTGCTTCGGCCTTTCGGTGCTCAAGTTTTTCACCGTTTTTGTTGGTTCTTTAATGTTCTTTATGTTCTTTGTACATCTTTGTACTATCTCCGGCTTGGCTTTGGTCGGTTGTATGAAGTGTTTGACCCAACCTTTATCATATTTTAAAGATTTTTAAAGCAACAAGGACATGTTTGTTTGAAATTGATTGAAATTGTCTTCTTTGTTGGGAGAGATGGCCAGGCACAGGTCTCCACATCGACGACATCCACGAGTTTGGAAGCGCCCGCGAATTTCATCGAGCGACTCGGAGAACGTTTCCGCGGTTCCGGGGTTCCGATGCACCGGGCGATCCTCTTGAGGCGTGAAGATTGGTGTTACGCGTTGCCAGGCGTTGCCATTGACTTCGGTAGGGTGAGGAAGAATTTGTTTGCTCAGTTTGCTCATAGCAAAATGGCAACTTCTCCCACACCCCGAGTTGAAAGATCCAAAAGATGGTGCCATCCCAGAATCCGTGTCCTCAATTTCCGCCATCTTTTCCCAGCCTGGGGCCTCTAAATAGGTTTGCCCTTTTTGCTTTCCTGCCGTGCTTGCCCAAATAGAACGTACTTTTCTGCTTCGCGACCTTTTCTTTTCACATGCTGCAAGTATATAGACAACAACAATCCACATTGCGCATGCAAATAGTCAAAGCACTGCAAGGCAGAAATCTTGATTCGTGCCTTTCTTCGGGTTTTTGCACCTTTTTGTAGAGTTATTTTTTTGCCAAACACAAATCATTTCGAGCCACAAGTTGGCTCGCAACCCAGGCAAATTCAGTTTTCCGTCAAACTGATTTCAGAGCACGTGTGCTGTTTTTCTTCTTTTAAGTCGCTTTGGCAATTTTCGGTCGTTTGGAGGCCACAAGGCAAAACGTATCAAAAAGTGCAAATTAGATTGGCAATTGGCCGAGTTGAAGGTGGAGCGTTTCAAATGTACAGGTTCCAGAAGCACAGTTTGGAGAGTCGCCATCGAGGGGTCCAAACTTGGGGACTGAGGCCAGCGCCAGTGGTAGACACTCGGCAGTGCATTGGGCAGCGTAGCTGTGGGTGGCTGCCGGTCGTTGGCTGCTGGCCCCTTGCGAAATCAAGCTGAAAGCCTTGCTGTCATAGCCGTAGCCGTTATTTCCAAAGAACTTAGGGTTTTCTCTTGCAGGTTGTTAGGGTGGTCTCAGTGTTTTGTTCTCGGAAGTGGCAACATGAAGGAGGGGTCCCAAGGGTCTCAATTTCAAGCAATTCATGTTGACGTTCGTGATGGACAAGGGAGGGGTCCCTCGTGTTGACCCCAGGTGGCGACCACAACCAGCTCCGTGACTGCCACGACGTCCACATCGAGCAGCAGCTCTGCAACGCAGGTTCGATCGGAAGCCAATCCGAAAAATGAAGTTTCATGGGGAAAAAGGAAAGGGTTTTGGCAAGTGTATGGATGCATAAAGCATTTGACATCGGTCATAGTAATCATATTGTAATCATAGTAATTATATACATGATGCAAGCATTTTTATTTTGTAATATTTGACATAAGGATTCTACAAATTCTACTCTTATGCTTGGTAGTGGTGCCCTTGCTTTCGGCTGCTTTTAGAAGGAGTTGAAGGTTTCAGCCGGTCACATGGATCAAACCGTATCATGAAATTGGACTACCAGCTCGGCTGGCATGGCGAACGTGAACAAAGGGTGACATGGGTGACATACCGCATTTGATGTTCTAGTCTTGGATTTTGTTCAAACCAAGACGTCGCTAACTTGTCAAATAAACTGGTTCTTTTTGAGATTGCGTGTTTTCCCGTTTGAAAGAAGCATAATCTAGCGTTGTGATCACCCGGACAGATTGGAACACCGTCTAAGGGTCTTACCACCCTATTCGGCTGCTTCTAGATGGTTACTGGGGGAACGAGTCAAAGGTTTTTGTTGGTTCCATGTGGCTATGGTTTAAAACCATGTGCCCCAGTGCCATCCAAAATCGACCAAGAAATCTTCCCCAAAGCCAGTTCGGCGTTTCAAAACTATTCCGTTATCATCTTGATGCTGTTCTGTTGACCTTGCAGCCACAAGCGGATTAGGTTTTCAAGGTGCCCACGACGACCGTCTCTGCTACCACTAGCGTTACAGCCACGTACACCACGTCAACATCGGCGTCATCGTCGTCCACGTGGAGTAGCTCTGCAACGCAGGTTCGATCGGAAGCCAATCCGAAAAATGAAGTTTCATTGGGAAAAAGGAAAGGGTTTTGGCAAGTGTATGGATGCATAAAGCATTTGACATCGGTCATAGTAATCATATTGTAATCATAGTAATTATATACATGATGCAAGCATTTTTATTTTGTCATGTTTGACATAAGGATTCTACAAATTCTACTCTTATGCTTGGTAGTGGTGCCCTTGCTTTCGGCTGCTTTTAGAAGGAGTTGAAGGTTTCAGCCGGTCACATGGATCAAACCGTATCATGAAATTGGACTACCAGCTCGGCTGGCATGGCGAACGTGAACAAAGGGTGACATACCGCATTTGATGTTCTAGTCTTGGATTTTGTTCAAACCAAGACGTCGCTAACTTGTCAAATAAACTGGTTCTTTTTGAGATTGCGTGTTTTCCCGTTTGAAAGAAGCATAATCTAGCGTTGTGATCACCCGGACAGATTGGAACACCGTCTAAGGGTCTTACCACCCTATTCGGCTGCTTCTAGATGGTTACTGGGGGAACGAGTCAAAGGTTTTTGTTGGTTCCATGTGGCTATGGTTTAAAACCATGTGCCCCAGTGCCATCCAAAATCGACCAAGAAATCTTCCCCAAAGCCAGTTCGGCGTTTCAAAACTATTCCGTTATCATCTTGATGCTGTTCTGTTGACCTTGCAGCCACAAGCGGATTAGGGTTTTCAAGGTGCCCACGACGACCGTCTCTGCTACCACTAGCGTTACAGCCACGTACACCACGTCAACATCGGCGTCATCGTCGTCCACGTGGAGTAGCTCTGCAACGCAGGTTCGATCGGAAGCCAATCCGAAAAATGAAGTTTCATTGGGAAAAAGGAAAGGGTTTTGGCAAGTGTATGGATGCATAAAGCATTTGACATCGGTCATAGTAATCATATTGTAATCATAGTAATTATATACATGATGCAAGCATTTTTATTTTGTAATATTTGACATAAGGATTCTACAAATTCTACTCTTATGCTTGGTAGTGGTGCCCTTGCTTTCGGCTGCTTTTAGAAGGAGTTGAAGGTTTCAGCCGGTCACATGGATCAAACCGTATCATGAAATTGGACTACCAGCTCGGCTGGCATGGCGAACGTGAACAAAGGGTGACATGGGTGACATACCGCATTTGATGTTCTAGTCTTGGATTTTGTTCAAACCAAGACGTCGCTAACTTGTCAAATAAACTGGTTCTTTTTGAGATTGCGTGTTTTCCCGTTTGAAAGAAGCATAATCTAGCGTTGTGATCACCCGGACAGATTGGAACACCGTCTAAGGGTCTTACCACCCTATTCGGCTGCTTCTAGATGGTTACTGGGGGAACGAGTCAAAGGTTTTTGTTGGTTCCATGTGGCTATGGTTTAAAACCATGTGCCCCAGTGCCATCCAAAATCGACCAAGAAATCTTCCCCAAAGCCAGTTCGGCGTTTCAAAACTATTCCGTTATCATCTTGATGCTGTTCTGTTGACCTTGCAGCCACAAGCGGATTGGGTTTTCAAGGTGCCCACGACGACCGTCTCTGCTACCACTAGCGTTACAGCCACGTACACCACGTCAACATCGGCGTCATCGTCGTCCACGTGGAGTAGCTCTGCAACGCAGGTTCGATCGGAAGCCAATCCGAAAAATGAAGTTTCATTGGGAAAAAGGAAAGGGTTTTGGCAAGTGTATGGATGCATAAAGCATTTGACATCGGTCATAGTAATCATATTGTAATCATAGTAATTATATACATGATGCAAGCATTTTTATTTTGTAATATTTGACATAAGGATTCTACAAATTCTACTCTTATGCTTGGTAGTGGTGCCCTTGCTTTCGGCTGCTTTTAGAAGGAGTTGAAGGTTTCAGCCGGTCACATGGATCAAACCGTATCATGAAATTGGACTACCAGCTCGGCTGGCATGGCGAACGTGAACAAAGGGTGACATGGGTGACATACCGCATTTGATGTTCTAGTCTTGGATTTTGTTCAAACCAAGACGTCGCTAACTTGTCAAATAAACTGGTTCTTTTTGAGATTGCGTGTTTTCCCGTTTGAAAGAAGCATAATCTAGCGTTGTGATCACCCGGACAGATTGGAACACCGTCTAAGGGTCTTACCACCCTATTCGGCTGCTTCTAGATGGTTACTGGGGGAACGAGTCAAAGGTTTTTGTTGGTTCCATGTGGCTATGGTTTAAAACCATGTGCCCCAGTGCCATCCAAAATCGACCAAGAAATCTTCCCCAAAGCCAGTTCGGCGTTTCAAAACTATTCCGTTATCATCTTGATGCTGTTCTGTTGACCTTGCAGCCACAAGCGGATTGGGTTTTCAAGGTGCCCACGACGACCGTCTCTGCTACCACTAGCGTTACAGCCACGTACACCACGTCAACATCGGCGTCATCGTCGTCCACGTGGAGTAGCTCTGCAACGCAGGTTCGATCGGAAGCCAATCCGAAAAATGAAGTTTCATTGGGAAAAAGGAAAGGGTTTTGGCAAGTGTATGGATGCATAAAGCATTTGACATCGGTCATAGTAATCATATTGTAATCATAGTAATTATATACATGATGCAAGCATTTTTATTTTGTCATGTTTGACATAAGGATTCTACAAATTCTACTCTTATGCTTGGTAGTGGTGCCCTTGCTTTCGGCTGCTTTTAGAAGGAGTTGAAGGTTTCAGCCGGTCACATGGATCAAACCGTATCATGAAATTGGACTACCAGCTCGGCCGGCATGGCGAACGTGAACAAAGGGTGACATACCGCATTTGATGTTCTAGTCTTGGATTTTGTTCAAACCAAGACCACGTCGCTAACTTGTCAAATAAACTGGTTCTTTTTGAGATTGGTTTAGATTTTTTTCAGGATGCAATGTGTGTGCGTTTTTTCCGTTTAAAAGAAGCAGAATCTGGCGTTGTGTTCACGCGGGCAGATGTTCATCACCTGAGAAAACAGAGCATCGGCTGTTGAACTTCGCCTTTAAATCTTTTTGTCCAGCACACTGCTCCTGCCATACTGTTTCCAACCAAGGATCATCCAGCATGTTGACAAAGTTTTCATAGCTTCGAAAAGTGGGATGTTTCTGTTTGTGAATGGCCAGGCAGCCGGGCATCGAATTAGGTCGGAGATGGCCTGGGACACAAGTCATGGCCGCAGGTCTCCACTTCCACCACGTCCATGAGATTGGCACCAACGAATTTCATCGAGCGCCTCGGTTTCGGTTTCAGAAGGATTCATGACGGATCCGAAAGTTTCCGAAGGTGTTTTCTGGTTGAAAATGTTCGTGTGAAGATGTTCGTTCCAGCTCGGTATTTTTGTTGGCAGCCAGGTTGGTTAATTGGTTAATCATGTTCTTGTGAGGGGTCGTTCTTCACAGCTTCAGATTCACGTTTCATGGCACACCAAGACATTCTCAATAGTTTTCAGCACTTTTCCAACTTTAAGAAGTTTCATGGGCTGAAGGCATGTGGTGCCAAAGTGATCCCACATCACTGTTGGCTTCGTAAGATGGTATCCGCAAGAGGGTCTTTCGTCCATACTTGGAATTCGCCAAAAGTTGCCCAAAAAAAACGTAGCCTTGCGCACCAAACATATCATGAGCTTCTATCAATTTCCATCCGTTACATGTCCATCCCACAATCCATGCCTTCCATTTTTCTTCTCGGCAGTTTTTTCGGTGGAACATTTCATCAAGAGGTCCAGCTGTCATGGCCCAAACTTGGAATCCGAGGCTGGAGCCAGCAGTAGACACTCGATGCACTTGGCTGCTGCGTGTGGGAGCTGTTTGGTCAGTGCCGCCTCCAAAGGATTTTGAAAGTTGTTTTCTTGCAGATTGTTGGATTTCCTGGATTGAAAGGAAGCGAATTGAATATGCTTGTGGCAGCTTGTGAGGGTCATTGTTGTTAAGTCTTGGAAGCTTCTCGCAAACGTGAGGATGTGTCGCCGACCACGCCAAGCAGCCCCACCACGCAGCCGGATCAAGCGCTGACAAGTGCTGCAGGCGATGCGGATCTATCGGAAGACCCTGCAGACTCGCCACTTGCCATGATTTTTTCGCGTAGAATGACTTGGAAGATACAGAAATCAGACAACCACTGGACTGAGATGATCTAAGTTGATCTGAGATGATTCAAGTCCATGGCTAGCCTTGCTGTTGGTGAGTCCGGCTCCAGAGCTTTCAGGCCCCATCTTCGCAACATGTTTTTGGAAGCAAAGTGACCTTGGGCCAAGACAGCATCGATTTCACGGATGCGACATTTCTCAGGTTGATTCCAATCCTGGTGCCCACGGTCACGTGTTTCCTCGCGGTCCTCGCGGGTCTCGGCTTTTTCTGCTACAGAGATTACAGGGCGAGGAAGACAAGGATGCCTCAAGGCCCAACCTGACATTTGGACCATCATTCCTCTTGTCATTTTCCAGTTTGGCGCACGCTTTGTGGATCCGTTGCGTCTTTGCTTTAGATGTCCAAAGTTGCACTCGTGGGACTGTTGTGACCCCAACATACCCCAACCAAGTCACAGTTTTGACACGTGACTTGACATCACTTCACTGCCAACGTCTGCTCCAGGTGCTGCTGCCGGAGCAGAAGTTACCTTCTCCAATCCGTGGCATGGGATGTCACTACCAGCGCTTCCAGCAGCGGTCAGACCACTCATCTTTGCATGGGACGCCAGGAGATGAGAGATGGGATGAGATGGGGATGCCGAAGTCGTTTGATTTTTGCGGGGCAGATGCTTCAAGGGGAAGTGGCCAGTGGCCATTCCTCAAGGATCAGCCACCCACTAAAATGTATATTGGGGAGGGGAGAGGTCAGGGTAAAAATGTGCATTTTTGAGTCCCGAAATAGCATTCCCCAGGACCCCCCTGATACACATTGTTTGGCAGGGACCCTCCAAAAAAAAGATGGAAGGGGCGTCACTCTATGCTGCAGATTTTTTTTTTGGGGGGGTGGTGTTTATACATTTTCCGTGCTTGTTTTTTCCCAGGGATCCTGGGGAATCCCGGGGCGACTTGATGCGTATGGCTCAGTGCATTTGCCAGCACGGCTTGGAAGAGGCACCTCACATGCATTGAAAATAAAGAAATTGAAAACCAAATAGGTCATGCTATCAGCAAAATCTTGAAACGATCTCGGGATGTGACATAGTTCTTTTCCACAGAAATGATAGCAATTGATGCAAATAATATGTTTCATATATGTTCAGTACACAGCATGCATATATGATTCATATATGCAAGGCATCCCGGGGGGACAGGTTTGCCCCAGGAACCGCTACACCTCGGAGGGCGAAATAATGTATAACGTAGGGGACCCCTGTGGGGACCGAGCTGCATCTATAGAGGCGCTCAAATCTACTGACATCTATATCTAAATCTAAATCTGTATCAAACATTTAAATCTATATCAAACATCTATATCTATCTTAATGCAAATGGAATTGGCGACCGATTTGCCATGAGCCCGCGCCATCAACTAAATTCCGTTTGAATATGGTGAGGGGGTTGAAGACCCCCCCGGTGTTCATACATTAGTAGGCCATATATCTTTGCAAATTTTAGGTAGTGGGGGGTAGCCCTTAGGCCCAACTTGACATCAATTTTACGGGTGTTAGCACCCCTTTGATTCTATACATGTTTGCCCTACTTCTGAAGCAGGGTCGGTGATCCTCAAGGGGTCATGGCACTGGGCCATGCGATGGCACATGACAACCACGTGAGTCCCATGGCCGAAGCGCCGCAAAATGACGCAACATGTTGACATTGATGCAATCGATATCAATCGATGCAACTTTTGGCAGGATGACTGCGGAGTGGCCTCGGGGTAAGGTCCTCAACCTCACGGTGTCTTGGGCCAAGCTGCAGAGGCGAATCGATTGGAATTTCCATCATCGGAGTAGGGTCGATCTTGGACAGGAACCGACAAGTCCTTGATGGAATCGTTCAAAGACTTGAGACTGGAAAACATGTTTCATCCAGTTTCATCCAATTTCTATCTCCGAGTTCCAAGTTGCCTAGTTTTTCAACTGCGGGGCGCGTAAGATTGTCCAACGCGGCGGTGCCAAGGTTGAAAGACATGAATTTGAGGCCAAGGGAAGGCAATATTCCCTTGAACGCCCTGAGAGCCGTGGATCTCTGCAATTCTCTTGGGAAGATGGAACCGTTCAAAAGGTGGACAGCATTCAACGGACGCTTTTCATGTGAAAAGTGCACTTTTCTCTATGCACGAACTGTCATCTTCTAGGTACAAGGCATTGTCTTTTAGCCACAACAGTGTAGGCTTGTGCCATGTGAGTTTTAATGCATGTACCATGCAAACTGCACTTGCAACAGTCACAGCTGTATTCCGTGCTTGTGCTTATTTCACCATATTTCACCAAAATGCAAAAAGGTTTCTTCAAATTGTGACAACCTTGACGTCCCGAGTTGTTGAAACTTAAGGAACGTCGTGGTGTGGAGCACGCAGGAAACTCGTCCTGCATGGCAGCACTTCAGGCGGACCTTCGCCGTGTTCCATAGCTGTTGCGTGTGATGAACGATTTTGCATCGCACATTTTGGTGTTGAGATAAGTTTCCAGACTTCGTTGAATTTCAGCGTTGATTTATGTTTTTAGGTGTTCATCTTTGACGCCGTGCCTTCACTTTTTCGCTTCGCCCAGGTGGATCTGCACTCCGCAATGCCCTGTGCAAGGCCATCACGACATGGAAGTTCAGTCGGACAGATACAGATGCTTGACGCGGTGCATGGTCGTGGCGTACGGTACAGGTGTGAAGGTGGATAGGGTCAGGCTGACATCGTGAGAAGTTATTATTTTGATTGAGTGATGATGTCATGAAGTGCATCATCTTGATCGAGATGTTTCAACCATTTTACGCTATATTTGAAGATGTTTTAATCTTGTTTAACAACGAACTTAGGCCTGTTGAAGCCTTGTTACAGTTTGTTTGCCGATCAGAAGTGCCAAATCTCCAAGAGGTTCAGAGTGGTCCAGTGCCATGTGGGTCCAGAACTTCCCGACACCCAGGATGCAACTCGTGTTCGCGTTCGCAAGCAGCGGAAAAGCACTGGTGTTGTCCAGCGCACGAGGTGACATCATAGACATGGACATGATGCACTGTGACATACTGTGACAGAACCAAGAGAGGAAAACGGAGATGGAACAGAATGAACAGAGACTGACAGAAACACCTGACGAATCTGTCAGAATGTTGGCAGATGTTTGCAGGTGCATCTGTGCCCAAGCTGTGCTGAGCTGCCACCGGAAGCGCCCACCTTGGGTGTGGCTGCCTACTTTTTGCTCCGTCTTTTCCCATCTCTGGCCAGGAGCACCTTGCCTGCCTTGCCTTGAAAGAAACAGATAGCCTGATCGAAATTGATGGAAACAGACAGCAGATAGAGATGGAGAGTCAGAGACAGACACCGGAAGATGATCACACAGTCAGCACCTGCAGAGTGACATGCGAAGGTGCCACTGCCCTAGACAACCCAAATTTCTACGAGATTTGCCCACACTTGGCGCATGGCAACACTGGTTTCTTGCCGTGGGGATATGGCGAGTGGTCTGGACGGTCTGATGTTTGCTGACAAGCCACGGTGAAATGTCTCGAATGTCTCGAGATGACGTGAGGCCATGAAGTGGCCAGTGAGACAAACATGCAGAAAATCGACGAACATGTCACAGTCAGATACTTCAAGGTGATTTGTTGCATCGCGTTTCGAATGTTTTGAATCTTGTTTCCAGGCTTGGGCTTCAACAAGACATGCCCAAGAGACGGGCAACCAAACTGTAGCGTCGTGGATGCCTTGGATGATTCGCACAGTGGTTGCTGGGACATGGGACGACTTGGGATCGCCGGATATGTTCACGATCACGATGTCGATTTGTTCAAATCTGTGACGCCATGAAATTCCACTTGATGTTGTCATGCTAAGTGAGTACTCATGACATGATGTGTTTATGACATGATATTTGATGGGATTCAAGGCATTTCGTGCATGAAATCTAAGTGGTGATTCCTCATATCTCATGATTCATGACATTTGAATGTTTTTGCTTCCTCATGCTCATGATTGTTTGATGAAAGTTCATGATACGGTCATGGTATGTTTGTGACTTGTTCATTGTTTTCGCTGGATGTTCATTATATTTTGTAAAAACTCCTGCAGTAAAACCATGTAGTGTATATATCATCGATCTACTCTGTAGCGTTGGTTCAAAACAGTGCCAGCAGCTGAACGGTTCTTGCCCCCATTTAGTATTTAACTAATTGTTGGCTGACCTTGTAAAATACAGGTTATCAGCCGTAGTCTCACTACTTTGCTATGGGGACCCCAACCGACCTTCCTCTCGCCGTTCCAGGGTCAGGTCCATCGGCCATCGCCGTGCCCAACGTGGCCGGGGGCGACCCCGAGCCGATGGATGACGAAACAATGTTTCAACCCGTTGTAGCGCACTTTACCTTCATACAAAACAACCTGTCCCAAATCACTAGTGGGAACACCCTGCAGGTCATGAGGGAAGCTGAACAGAGGCACCTTCAGATAATGCATGGAGTAGTTGACTCAATTCGAAACGAATGGTCAAGTAGGCTCGTAATGCAAGAGCAGGAGTATGAGCAAAGGTTGCTGGAGGTTGAAGGTAAGGTAGGCTGTCAACGAGGAAAGGAAACGAGGCGACGAGTTAGAGGTCAGGTTAAATCAGGCTCAGGCATCGCATGACAAAAGAGTAGAAGACTTCAAGGCAGAGGCAAACACAAAGCATGATCAGAAAATTGCAGAGGAAAGGCAACGTATCACTAGTGAATTCGAAGCTTCTTATGCACAGACAGTTGAACATGCAAAGAATGCCATAGCTGCCACGAAGAAGCAATATGAAGACCAGGCTGCAATTGATCAGGCCAGGCTCATCAGTTTGAGGACCGAATTCGAGAACTACAAGAAGGAGATGGCCGAGAAGATCAACGAGGCAGCGGCACAGAATCTCAGCCTTCAGGACCAAATCGATGACCTTCAGGAGCAGTTAAAGCATGTTGCCAAAGCGCAGCATGCCTCCGTTCCGAAAGCATCCGTCCAGAACGCCGAGCCGGCCGCTACCACTAGCGTGCCCCACTTCAATATTGCCACTCCTAGAGCATCCGATGCACAGGCTGCCAAAGGCAGTGATGAGCCGATCCAAGAGTTGAAAACGCCTGCGGTGTTGGCACAAGAAGCAAAAGCCAAGTTGGATGAGCTGCTCAAAAATGGCAGTCCCAAACAGAAACCGGCTGTCGGCAACGACCAGCCCCAATTGCCAACGCAGTCAGGGTTTTTCACTCCCACTGAAGCTATCAAAACTCCCCCAAATGATTCCCCAAAGAGCGTAACCAAGCAACAGCAAGTGATGGGTCCCTCAGAACTTATTGAATTGGTGAAAGCCTTAACCCATAGGGAAGAAAAGGATAAGCCAAAAACTAAGGAGGCTGAGCTCATCAAGCTGAACAACATGCCCGCTCCGGAGTCATATAGGACTTGGAAGAATCATGTCAGGGATGAAGTGAAGAGTTGCTCAGATCGTCCAGACGAAGCATGGCTCTGGCTCAATGGGGTGTACGATCAGGAGTGCACCAGAGAACAGTTGGAGAAGAAACTTCAAGATCCTGGGAAGTTCCTCACATTGGATACGAAGTTATCAGCAGCGCTCACGCGCTCAGCCGGAGGTGACCTCGCAACTAGGATCCTGAATTTCAAAGAGCAACAATCCCGAAAAGGCATCCAGGTCAGGGGAAGGTATGTTCTGCTCATGTTTGAGGACTACTTCAAAACATCGGAAGAAGCAGGTAGCCTTTACAGAGTAGAAGACCTTTTGGGTGTTGTCAAAGTAGGCGATACTGTCCAGGATCTCAGAAGATTCATCAACAAATGGGATGCTACCCTATCTGGCATGGCTGTCACCCCCGATGATGCTGTGTTAAGGGACATCTTGTTGAGGCAGATCCGACCAAGTCAGTTGCTGAAATATGACATCGAGATGTTTGATCGTGCACATGAGAAATCCCATGAAAAGTCTTATAGTTTTCTTCACCAATCCATGAAGAACTTGATCGACCGTGAACGATTGAGGGAAAACAGGAACCGCATCGCGGAGAAGAACAAGGCTGGGATTAAGGACACCAAGGCCGCACCCGCCAAAGGCGATGGTCGCGGTGGCCGAAAGGGCTCCCCAAGTCGTGGTAGATCGCAGGAACGAGGTGGCAAAGGTCACAAAATTTGCTATAAGTTCCAAAAGGGTACCTGTGATAAGGGGAAGAAATGCCCATTCAAACATGTGAAAGATGATAAGTTTCGAACTCAATCACCCAGAAGAACCAAAACACGTTCACCATCAAGGGGCAATAAGGATGATAAGGGGAAGAAAATGTCCAAAGAAGAGATGGCTAAAACCCCATGTATCTATCATGCCCAGGGAAAGTGCAGACGTGGTGACAAATGTTTTTACAAACATGATGACAAAGCCGCTGCCGCTACCAAAGACACCAAAAGGGCCAACTCACCCGCTCCTAAAAAGAAGAGCAAGGATTCAACAGCCGCTCCATGTCTGATCCAGAAGTTTGCCTGCATTGCCCGAAAACAGCCGAAGGCAACTTCGTGCTCTGATGAGTCAAGTGTCAGGATGAAGCGTCTTAGATTCCGAAAGGTCCCACATGTGATCGAGGTGAAGGCAGTTGGTCATCAAGTCCCCGTCAAGCACCGTCCAAGAGAGTTCACTAAGGTGTGCAAGACAGCTGAAGACGTTCCAGTTTCATCCAAGGTTGAACAACATGAGGCTCAGGTTCGTGCAAGACAGCTTCAAGAAACTGTGAAACTTCATGATTCAGATGTTGCACCTAGTTGTGGGTTTTGTTGTTGGAATGAGGACACATGTGACATCACATGCAAAGAATGCAGGTTCATTAGCGGTCCCAAAGCTCTTAGAGACATTGGTCGTTTTCCGTCAATCGCCACGGCTGCGCCAAAGGCCGGCGTCAGTTGGCTCGTCGACTCAGGTAGTGAATCCGATCTTGTGTCCAAGGGTATGCTGAGGGACGTTAGCGCTAAGAACTGCCGTGCAGCCGAGCATCCGATTTCCTTAGTCACAGCCAACGGTTCGACTGAGGCAAATGAGGTTGCTGATGTCAAGTTGTCCGCATTGCCAGATCCCGTGCATCCGTATGTACTTGATCATACCCCAGCTGTGCTCTCCGTAGGAACTAGATGTGTAGATCAGGGTTACAGTTTTGTCTGGCCTGCCAATGGCAAACCAATCCTAGTCCGTCCAGATGACAAGGTTGTCCAGCTCAAGATCGAAGGTCATGTCCCAGTCTTGGATGACAGTTGCAAGGTTTATCCCAAAGATCAATTTCAAAAGGATAAGCACCTTAGAAAGTTGTTTGCAATGCCGACCTCACGGTCGAGCTCAAAAGCCAAGCGGGATGAAGCCCAAGATGAAGAGCAATTGGATGAGCTGGTGGAGGATGACGCTCAGCAGGAGTACATCCGAAGCCGCAAGACTGAGGATTTGCTGGCCGAAGCTGCAAGTACCCAACATCAGTACACTCATTTCCCCAAGAACCCATTTTGCAGAACCTGCCAACGAGCAAGAATGATGGCTCCTCAGGCACGAAAGAAAGGTGGTCAGAAGAGAATTGAAACTGAGGTGTTTGGTGACCACATCATTGGGGATCATGTCATCATTAAGAAAAATGTAGAAGAGGGTTTCAGGGGGGAGCAAGTAGCATTGGTGTTGAAAGATCTGCACACCCAATATCGGTATGTCTACCCCAGCCAGTCCAAGGACTCACAAAGTTGTGTTGACGGTTTGAATCACTTCATTGGATCAAAGGATGATGTTCAAGTTGTGTACACTGACAGTTCCCCAGAATTGATCAGGGCCATCAAGGATTTGGGATATAGACATCAGACATCAATTGAATACGTAGATTCATCAAAGTCATTTGCTGAGCGCGAAGTTCGTCAGATGTTGGAAGGTGCCCGGAGCAACTTGTTGCAGTCAGGACTTCCTTTGAAGATGTGGCCATTGGCCATGCAGCATCATGCGACCGCGATCAACGCAAGCCCCCAGCTTGACGGCAGTGAATCCCCATGGCAACTCAGGTTTGGTGAAGAGTTCCCTGCAATGCACATTCCATTTGGTGCCAAAGTGTTGTTCTGGAATAACCCCAAAAGGTTGGATAACACATCAGGTAAACTCTCCCCAACAGCAAATGAAGGAATTTTCCTTGGGTATTACATTCAACCAGGTCATGATTGGAAGGGTGAATACTTAGTTGCCAAGTTGGAAGCTGCAGATTATCATGTTAACTGGGGTGCATTGACAATCCAAAGAACAAAAAGGTTGGAATTGCCATCCGAGGGTTTCATCTTTCCTTTGAAAGCTCTGATTGACTCGAAAGCACCCAAAGCCGACCGACTTGAGGATCAGGTCATTCCGCAGACACCCAAAGCTGTGCCACTTGAGTCCAGTTTGCATCCGCCACAAGATGAGTATGAATATGAGCCAGGGACGCCTCTACCAGCCGACAGCGATGTCGAGCCTGATGCACCCGAAGCGCCTGTATTCCCAGATCTCAAATTGACCCCCAAAGGTGAAATTATTCCAGATGGATATCATTGGGATGGTCACCGGATTGTACGTAACTACAAAGGTTCAAAGCGTCCGGAGGGGATCGACTCAGAACTGTGGAAAATGTTAGGACCTCAAGATAGGAAATTGATCATCGAGGAAGAAGCAAAGAAAGCAGCCAAGGAGCAGGAGGAAAAGCCAGCATCATCATCTGGCAGCAAGGG